GGTGGAGGGAAGGCAGCGCCGGCGCGGGAGCCGGTGGGGAGAGGGGGGAGACATCCCGAAACGGTGGGAACGGGGGATGGGGAGGAGAGCGGCGGGGCCGTGGGGGTGCGGCAGAGACCGGCCCGGCGGGGTCTCACTGCCCCGGGGCGGGGGTCGGACCGAGCGGGCACCCACCAACCCCCGCCTCGCACCGCAGCTGCCGCGCCCGCCCCGCCTTTCGGCAGCGGTCCCGGGCGCACCGAGCTCCGCGCGGCCCGGGAGGCGCAGCCCTCCCCGCGGGAAGCACCGATGCCCGCACTCACCTCACGGCCACCTTCACGCAGCTGTCCGGGGCCGCCATGGCCCCGCACGGCACCGCGGCCGCCGCTGCCCCGGAGCATCCGCGGGGCGGGAGGGGCGGGGCCGCCAGCGGGGCGGGGCCGGCCCAGGTGCGGGGCGGGGCCGCGCCCGGACACGCCCCCAGGGCCGGAGCGCGAGCACGCGGCGGAGGGCGCGGGATCCCGCTCGGAGCCGGGACAGGGACACAGGGGTACCGGGATACAGGGATACAGCGATACAGGGACACAGGGATACACGGACACAGGGACACTGGGGCAGAGGGACACACGGACACAGGGATACAGGGACACAGGGATACACGGACACAGGGATACAGGGACACACGCACACAGGGACACACGGGCACAGGGATACAGGGACACACGGGCAAAGGGATACAGGGACACAGGGATACAAGGACACACGCACACAGGGATACAGGGACACACGGACACGGATACAGGGACACAGAGATACACGAGTACAGAGACACACGCACACAGGGACACGTGGACACGGACATGCGGACACAGGGACAGGGACACAGGGACAAGGATACACGGACACAGGGATACACGGACACACAGACAGGGACACACAGACACAGGGATACACGGACACACAGACACAGGGATACACGGACACACAGACACAGGGACAGGGACACACGGACGTAGGAACGCGCGGGCACAGGGACACACTGACACGCACATAGGGACACATGAACAGGGACACACGGACAAGGACAGGGATACGGGCACACACACACGGGCACGGACACACGGACACAGGGACACGCGGACACAGCTCGCACTCCCACCCATTCACACCCACACTCGTCAGCCCCTGCTGCCCTCTGCCGGGTCAGCGGCCCCGCTGCCGCCTGTGCTGCTCCGGGGTGTACCGGCATGTACCGGGATGCACCAGGATGTACCAGGGCTGTGCCAGCGCTGCTCCGGGCTGCACCGAGGGCTGCTCCGGACTGCCCCGCGTGTTTCCACATCGCTCCAACACCTCCTTGGCTCCACTGGTGTTGGGGAGTCACACCGTGGAGCAGCAGGAAACAGAGCAGGGCAGGCTTGAGCTCAGTGCTCCTGACAGAGCCACCAGGACTGGGATCTGGCAAGCCTTTGGGCTGTCCAAGGCTGTGGAGAGTCTATCCCAAGAGGACGTGGCATGCCAGGGTGGTGTCAGGTGCCAGCAGAGCTCCCCAGCGTGCACAGTCCGTACTGCGGGGTGGGGTCTGCACAGCAACCCGGGCACCCGCGCAGCACAGGGCACTGCCACAGAGCCGTGCCCACAGGGCCACTGGCTCCGTCCTCGGAGCTGGTCTGGAGAGGGAAACATCCAGAAGCCATCAGAGAGCAGGGCTGGAGACAGACAAGCACTGGGGAGATGAAGGAGTCCCTGTTCTGGCTTTCCTGAGTTGCACTCCCGTTGCTGGGGCTGATGGCAGCCAGCCACAGCCAGGCCCTGGCTCTGCAGAAGAAAGCATCTTCCAGCAGGGGTGGGACCTGCACGGGACTCCCAGCTCTGTAGGATGGTTTCAACCTCAGGGCAAATACCAATGGAGCACGAGGGCAAACTGAGGCACTCCGAGGTTTCTTTGGAGGAGTCCAGGCTGCATCCTGGGAGAGGGATAGGCAGGACACGCCAGCACTGGTGGCTAGCAGCTGGTGGCTGATGGCTAGTGAGGCAGTGCTGTGCCCAGCACAGAGCCCAGAACCTGCCCTCTGCTCTGCCATCTAGGTACCTTCACCCCATCCCCATGTTTGCCCCTCCCAAGGTGCCAGGACCATGGGCCATGTGTGCACAGGACTCTGCAACCCTGCTCCTCAGCTCTGCTGGCATGGGTAAGTCCCAGGACAACGTGTGCTGGTACAAAATCATGGGGGTGAGCAGGACATGGCCTGTCTGGCTTCCTGCAAGGATGTGAGGAGCTGGTATTCCTCTCTTTGTCCCATGTTTGCAAGGTGCACAATGCAGTTCCCAGCCTGAGCTGCTGGTTTTCCTGAGACTGGACTATTCCCCACTGAAGCTGCAGGCAGAGAGGGGCAGTGACTGTGTCCTGTTTCTCTCTTTCTACTCCCACCCACATGCCAGCTGTACCACAAATCACATCTGTCCCCCAGCTCAGCTAGGATCAGCTTAAGAAAGACACACCACACACATACCTCAGAGCAAACCATCCCCTGTGCAGCCCCAGGCACCAGCAGAGGTGCAGAGCCCCCAGCACTGTGCTATTGTCCCCACCATAGTGTCACCCTTTAGGTTCAGAGTCTCCAGTGACCAGCCAGGTGTCTTGGCAAGTGATACATGCAGTCCTGCATCTCCCTAAACCCACCAGGAGACCACTCACCCCATGGTGTCCTTGGCATCCCCTGGCAGAGCAGCTGCCAGAGCCGCACTGCCAACCCCCGAGCACTTCCATCAGTGTGTGCGTGAGGGTGTGGGTGTCAAGGGGGTAGCTCCTGCCCCAGGACACAGGAGCAAGAGGAAGGGATGCAGCAGTGTCCCCCACACCGTCCATCTCTGCTGGCTGCATGCTGTGGGGGAAGCTGTGCTGCCACGAGCAGGCACCAGACTGGCTCTGGTGCTCAGGCTGCAGCTGGAGCTCAGGCAGTTCCCTTGCCTGAGTCAATAAAAGCCGTGCTGGGAAGCAGGCTGCCTCATTGATCTGCTCCTCCCCTGGGACCCATCCACTGTCTGCATTTTAATACACATTAGGTGATCAAGAGCCCCCCAGTTCCCAGTTAGGCTGGGCTGGGGGCCCTTGGGAGCCAGATCCCACTGAAGAGCTGGGCTGGGAGATGGGGCTGCCCCAGAGCTCAGCACCCCGATCCCATGGGGGGCACTGTGGGCCCCTGGGCAGCCCAGAGAGGAACAACTCGCCCAGCACCAGCACAGGCAGAGCTGGGAGCACTGCAGGAACAGCTCCACACTCTCCTGGCCCGTGCCCCACTGAGCTGTGGGATGGATGTCAAGGGCTGAAAGAGACTTTCCCAGGGACTGGGATGGATGTCTGACCCCAAGAGCGCAGTGTGGAGAGAGTGGAAGGGGCAGAAATGGCTTCACAGTGTCCAGCTCTCCTCTTGGCTAGCCCCAGGGCTGCTGCCCCAGCCCAAACATGCTTTCCCACCTCTGCCCCATCCCCAGTTCCACACACAGCTGGGACAGGGAGCCAAGAAGGCCTCAGGCCCCATTTTGCTGCCCAGCCCCTGGCACATCTCCCCACGGGACAGACTTAGCTGCAGGCAGGAGGCTGCAGGCTCCAGCAGAGACACGAGGATGCAGGGTCCAGCTGCTGGGATTTCAGGAGATCCCCAGAGCTTGGCAACCTCAAAATGACTGAACTGGAGGCTGCCACGTGAATCCTGCCAGCTCTGGCTACACGTGGTGTCGCATTTGCAGCCCCCTCCGCTGGCTGTGCAGGCAGGGTGGCAGAGGAAGGACGGGAGGGGCACCCAGAGTCACACAGCAGGAACACTTTAATGACCTGTCCAGCTCTTGCAGACCCCGCTGGAACAGCATTGTCCTGTTCTGCACCAGCATCCCAGAGACCTGTCCCAAAAGTAATACCAGAGCTGGCCAGAGTAGCTCAGGACCCCAGGCAGAAGCAGGAACAGCGTGGCTCTGCTCCTGCATCCCTGAGACAGAACCCTGGGCACTGCAGTGGGCAGCTCAGGGGCGAGTGGCAGTCATGGTCTTTTGGGAGGGAGCTGCACCGAGCCCTGGGGATCTGCCTGGTGCCACAGCTGAGGTGTCCAGAGGGGCAGAGCCAGTTTTTGTCCCCTGCAGTGTTTCTCTTCCCTTTAGCAGCTCCACAGCTGCTTTCTCCACTTCATCCACCTCCAGCTGGCTGCTGGCTGCCATCTCATCCCTGGTCACTGCTAGGAACGACGAGTCCTGGGCCAGAGCCCCGAGGCCTCCGGAGATCAGAGCCTGTGCAGAGGGTGAGAGCACAGCCTGGGTGCTCAGCCTGGGGACTGCCCTGGCTGCAGGCACCCACCCTCCCTCCTCTCCCCCCTTCTGCTCTCTGTGCTGGCACACACCTGCAGCTTGTCCTTGTGGCTAAGCTGTGCCCCCCAATCTCCCATCATGGCACAAGCATGGTGTCCCTGGAATTTCCTGCCATCCCTGCTGTTCCCTCGGCCAAGCTGTGCCCTTGCCTTACCTCCTGAATGAGGAAGGTGATGGCTGGGGTGGAGGATGTTCCTGGCTCACCAGTTTCCCTCTGCTGGAACCTGGAGCTGGATGCAGTTCCTGTCACAGTGCCATCCTCTGTGGGCAGCTGGATGAGAGTAGCACAGAGCTGCAACATGAGCCCAGGGAACTGCAGCACTGCCCAGGGGAGATCTCTCCCATGTTAGTGTGGGGGCTGCAGGTTCTGTCCCCTGTCCCTGCCCAGTGCCTGGACAGGCAATGCCATCCTGCTGGAGCTCCTGGGTCCAGGCACCCCCAAAATGGGACCAGCAGGGCCACGTGAACAGAGAGCAGGGAACCAGCCCTGGCCCCTGCCCTGGCATGTGCCAGGCAAAGGGCAGCAAAGGGAGCATGGGGGAAATCTGATGCACCCCTTCTGCCTGCCCTGGCTCTGGAGGCAGATGGGCAGCCAGAGGAATGTGCTTCCAGCTGTCCCAGCTTCGAGGAGCTCCTCATGGAGCTGTTACAGCAGCAGGGTGGGAGCCCAACTCCATCTCCAGGCTGATCCAAGAGAAAAGCTCCAGCAAGGCTGGATTCACACAATGGGCCTGGAGAGGGGCTCCTTCCCAGCACAGCAGTGCCAGGATGGCAGGGAGGATTCCCAGGATGGGAGGGAGGCTCACCTGTGTGCCCATTACACGTCCCCTCTGACATTTTTACCTGCTGGGGAAGGAGTGGCCCTGGTGATGAGAGACCCCCAGAGGTGGCCCCTCGCCTCCTGCTCAGCCTCTCCATGGGTATGGGGCGGTTGTACTCTGTGGGAGGGAAGGGTGGGGACATCACAGAATTCACAGAATCACAGAATGATGTATCTTGAGACTGTAACCTCTGGTTCTGTCAGTGCTGCCTGGAGAAAGAGCCCAGCCCCACCTGAGCACAGCCACCTTTCAGCAGCTGTAAGGTCACCTCTGAGTATTCTTTTCTCCAGGCTGAGCACCCCCAGCTCCCTCAGTTGTTCTTCACAGGGTTTGTGTTCCCAGCCCCTCACCAGCCCTGTTGCCCTCTACCCTCCTCTGGCACTTGATGTAGCTTGAGACTGTGACCTCTGGTTCTGTCAGTGCTGCCTGGAGAAAGAGCCCAGCCCCACCTGAGCACAGCCACCTTTCAGCAGCTGTAGAGTGATAAGGTCACCTCTGAGTCTCCTTTTCTCCAGGCTGAGCACCCCCAGCTCCCTCAGTGTTCCTCACAGGGTTTGTGTTCCCAGCCCCTCACCAGCCCTGTTGCCCTCTACCCTCCTCTGGCATCTCAACATCCATCAGATGGATACAAGAGCAAGGACACCACTGCCAGACAGAGATGAGACTGGGCTTGCTAGACTGGGGAAAACAGGATTTAGGAGTTCAGCAGCACCCAAAGTCCTTGTTTAAGGAAATGAACATGGTCTTGTGGCCCTGCTGCGCTGGGATGGCCAGTGCTCCCCCAGCTGAGGCACTGCCTCCATGTTTCATCACCTCAAAGGGTGAAAGGAAGGAGAAGGGTCTCCTGGAGCTCTTCAGAGAGATCCTGCTGTGCTCAGTGCTCTCAGCAAACCTCCAACTTACTGGGGCCTGCACCTCCTCCTTCCACCACGACAATCAGCCCCTTCCCCCTGCCCTGGCCCCTGGGCTGGTCCCAGTGCCCCAGAAGAAGAACAAAGCCCAGACTCACCCCACGCCGGGCGCCTGCGTGCTGCTGGCACTGTCTTCCTCAGCACCTCATCCTCATAGTGCACCCTGGCAAGGGCAGGCAGGAGGGTCAGCCTGGCTGGGGACACACACTGAGCCCAGCTCCCCCTGGGGTGCAGCCCTCCCCACCTTCCCCCACCTGGGGGGACAGACCCGTAGGGACAACTGGGATGGATGAACAGGGTGGAGACTCCAGGACTAAGTACATCTCTTACATTGGTAATTTTTGTCCCTTCTACCTGTGCCAGACATGTGCTGGTGGCCCCAACCTGGGCCTTGGCCCTCAGAGATTGGCAGGAGAGGGGCAGGGGAGATTCCTGCAACCCCTGGAGCCCTGCAGCCCACCTCCATGCTCATGGCACTGAGATGAAGGATGCTGGGATGGGAGCCCTGGCTAAGCCAGGTGCAGCCAGCTGCCAGGACAGCCCCAGGGCAGGCAGTGGCAGGGCCAGCACTGCCCTCCTCACCTGCACACCGAGGCTGAGTGCCCTTACCCCTCCAGCCAGCTGCTGCTGTTGGCGTTGTTGATGTTGGTGTTGCCTTCCTGGGGGAAGTCATCAAGGAACACAGGAGAGTCGAGGTCCTCACTGCCCACCTCGGTGAACTGCAGGGGCCTCTGGCTGGCCACCTGGGGCTGCAGCGGGCTGCTGGGCTCCATGAAGCTGTCCACCTGGCCAAACAAGCCACCTGTTCTCTGCAATCAACAGGGAGGGCATCAGGGGAAGCCTGGAGCTCCAGGCTGCTCTGGGGCCATTCCCACATCAAAGCAGTGATTGCTCTGCCCAGGCCTTGCAGACCACATGGCCCCAAAAGCTTCACTTCCCAGGTGGGGAAACTGAGGCACTGAAGGTTGATGGCCATGCAGCAGCGTCTCAGGTTGGAAATGAGGGTGTGTATTCTGTCCCCATCTGTCAGAGCTGGGAGTTCTCTGCTGTTCATGGGGCAGTTTTCTTTATCTCTCCCACAGCCAATCCTCCCTCCAGCAGATCTCTGCTGTTCATGGCCACTGAGTGTCCCTGCATGGCTGATCAAATTCCATCATCCCATGGGGAGATGCTCCGCCCAGGGTTTTCCTGCATGAACACCCCAGGGGTTTGAGTGACCAATGAATACAGGGTAACAACTTATTACTAACCAATAAAAGTAATTGGCAAGAAAGCTACTGACCAATGGGAGTCCCAGACAAGTTCTGTAAAACTGTATAAAAACCACATATGTGAATAAAGAATGGGCTTTCTTCCACCATGAAGAAAATGGAGTCCTGCCTGATTTATTCCCATAACAAGCTGGGGGGACACCTTCCCACAGCAAAGCTCAGCAAACTCTGCTGCTGGCAAGGAAGGGGTGAAGGAAAGCAGCTCCTCCCCAGCACAGCTAAATTCAAGGGCCTGGGAGTGCCCTGCAGTGAGGGCTCTGGGCAGAGCCAGCCCATCAGTGCCACACTTTGAAGCAGGAGGGAGCACAGGAACGTCCTGATCTTCAGGAGCTGAACCACCTCAGCTCTGTGCAGGGCAGCAGCACCTCTCCTAAGCTAAAGTCAAAGGATGGGAGCTGGAGCAGCCCCACTCCTAAGCTGTTTGGGGTGGCACTGGTTCACTCCTCAGGGCTGCAATGGGCCATCAGCTGGTAACATCCTCCAGGCTCGGGCTGAGCATCCCCTGCAGGCACCCAGGGGCTCTGGCCCTGGGATGGGGAATAGCAGCAGGGCTGGGGGTTTGTCCACAGGGTCTGAGCCCACAGACAAGGGCCTGAGCTCCCTGGCCACTGGGGGAATGGTGTGTAGCCCACACCGAGTCACAGAAAGTGGGCTTCTCTAAGTGAAGGAACTGCACCACACCTGTTCCTATGCAACAGAGGACAGTTGTAATATTATAGTATTGATAATTGTAAAAACAAGCCGTGGACAGATGCAGTAACCACAATTTGTCCTCCCATCTGTTTTAAACTAGAGGTTTTTTCCTGAATCTCAACATCTTCACTGCCAATACTCAGCTGCTGGAAGAATGAAGCACTCCTTTTAGCTCTCTTTTAGCCTAACATCATTAGATTTCCATTAAAAGTGCCATGTGGCTGGTTTTCATGCACAGTGGAAAATTTTCATCATGCTCTCTCACTCTGTCCTTCTTTCCAAACCTAATGTGCACTTTCTCCTGTTTGAGGCAACACTGCAATGTTGACACTGAATGTCTTCTATTTGAATTTAATGAATGGTCATTATTCAGTTGGTCCCAGACAACAACAAAACTCAATCTATGCGCAGGTCAAATTCACAAGGCAGGTTCCCTGTCAGGCTGCAGAGGCAGCCAGGATCACTGCTTACCTTCTGTCTTGATCTTGAGGGCTGTCCTCACCAGAGCAAAGAGGGTGGCGTTGAAGGTGACGGTGCCGTCGCTGTTCAGGGGCATGTTCATGCACACCAGGCGCTGCACAGCAAACCAAATGTGAGCCAGGGCAGAGCAGCCTGGCAGCCCCAGGCTCACTGCCTGGCCTGCCCAGGGGGCTGGGGTGTTCACATTCTCTGAGCAGAGAGAGACATAATTCTCTCTCCCGGGATTCTTCCTGGGGAAGGCAGTGAGAAGCTCAGAGAAGAAGGGAAAACAATCCTTATCTCTATTTGCTGCTCCTGTTGTTTGGCACATGTGGAATGTGTTATGGAGATTGTTCACCAAAGGGGTTTGGTTATTGGACACCTATTGGTGAAGGTTGGTTTGTTTCCTTGGCCAGTTGGGTTGAAGTTGTGTCCTGACTGTCTCAGACAGTCACGGGTTTTTCTTTAGTATTCTTTAGTATAGTTATAATACAGTATTAGTGTAATATAGAATAGCTTAATAAAGCAATTGTTCAGCCTTCTGATTCATGGAGTCAGAGCACATTATTCCCTGGCTGGGGGATCACCTGTTTCTACTATAAGGGTCTGCTCAGGGCATGGAACCCTCCCAGCCCCACCTGCCCTGCCCAGCAGTGGCACTGTGGCACTGGTTCACTGCTCAGGGCTGCAACAATGGGCCATCAGCTGGTAACATCCTCCGGGTTTGGTTATTGGACACCTATTGGTGAAGGTTGGTTTGTTTCCTTGGCCAGTTGGGTTGAAGTTGTGTCCTGACTGTCTCAGACAGTCACGGGTTTTTCTTTAGTATTCTTTAGTATAGTTATAATACAGTATTAGTGTAATATAGAATAGCTTAATAAAGCAATTGTTCAGCCTTCTGATTCATGGAGTCAGAGCACATTATTCCCTGGCTGGGGGATCACCTGTTTCTACTATAAGGGTCTGCTCAGGGCATGGAACCCTCCCAGCCCCACCTGCCCTGCCCAGCAGTGGCACTGTGGCACTGGTTCACTGCTCAGGGCTGCAACAATGGGCCATCAGCTGGTAACATCCTCCAGGCTCGGGCTGAGCAGGGTCATGCAGGCACCCAGGGGCTCTGGCCCTGGGATGGGGAATAGCAGCAGGGCTGGGGGTTTGTCCACAAGGGTGGGGCTGAGCCCACAGACAGGTGCCTGAGCTCCCTGGCCCATCACCCCTGGTACCACAACTGCCAGAGGCAGTGACATCCCTGGTCCCACAACTGAACCAGAGCTAGTGATGGCTAGAGCTGGGGAAATAACCTACAGGGGCATGGGTGCCATGGGAGAAAATCATGGAATCACAGAACTGTTTAGTCAGAAAAGATCTGTGACATCATCAGGTCTTACTGTTCCCCCAGGACTGCCAAGACCACCAGAAAAACCATGGAAACAAGCACCACACCCACATAGCTTTTAAATCCCTCCCGGGTGGAAACCCACCACCGCCCTGGACAGCTTGGGGGCCCAAGCAATCTTCTGGTGAGAAAATTTTCCCCAATATCCATCCTAAACCTCTCACGGGGCAACTTGAGATTTTCCTCTTGGACTGTTACTTGAGAGAAGAGACCCACTCCCACCTGGCCTCAGCCTCCTGTCAGGGAATTGTAGAGAGCAAGAAGGTCCCCTGAGTCCCCTCTTCCCCAGGCTGAACTCCCCCAGTTGCTTTCAGAGAGATGGGAGTCATTTTGCATTGTAAGCCCCACTCCAAGACATGTCCCAGCTGCTGTGAGGAGTCTGGGGATCAAATCTGGTGTGTTTGCCCAAAAGCCAGGAGGGATTACACCAGTGCCTGAGCTCCTGCCCATGCACGTTACACATGAGCCTCACACAGGCTCACACAGATTTGTTCAGAATGAGCTAAGCCAGGAAAAGTGCATTTCTGCTAAGAATGTTGGGGTTTCCTTCTCCCTAAGCACCATCAGCTCTTGGAAACAAGTTCTACAGCCCAGCTGCCACGGCCACACGCTCAGGCCCTGCACTGCCCTCCTGCAGCAGCTGCAGCGTGGCCTGGGAGTGCCCTGCAGTGAGGGCTCTGGGCACAGCCAGCCCCTCAGTGCCACCCCTTTGAAGCAGGAGGTGAGCACAGGTAAGTCCTGATCTTCAGGAGCTGAACCACCTCAGCTCTGTCTCTCCTTGCCCCCCAAATCACCCCCTCATTAAAAAGGAGAGGTCAGAGCTGGCTGGACTGTCACTCTCAGCCTGCCAGGAGGACACAGTGACAGCTTGGGGAACGTGTCCTGATGTGCTGCTCTTTGAGCCAGGTCTCGTGGGCTCTCAGAGAAACCCATCACACCCGAGATAGCTCAGCTACCCAGAATGGCATAAAATTAGCAGGTTAGCTTATGAGGTAATGTTGGAAACAGAAAAAGGTTTAATAAAAGGCAAAATAATAAAGCCTTAAGAGAGAAAAACCGAGCAAGGGGCAAGAGGTCCTTGCTCCTGCTAAAACACTCCACAAAAGCAATTATTTCCTTTGTTCTCTTCCTTTTCTAGTGAATTACCTAGGCCAGACCTGTTGGCCTCTGTCCAATGGGCAGCCCCCATTCTGAGGTGAAGTCCCAAAGGTCCTATGAGGTGTCTTTGTACTTAATTTGGGAGAGAAACTCCTGGGCTTTTTGCCTTTTTAAGCAGACAAAGAATAATTTGGTCACTCCGTCAACAGGGGGCACATCCCTACACCGTCCCTGTGCTCACACACCTCGGCACCCCCTTGGCTCTTACCTTACAAGCTACACGGTGTGGGCAGAACTTGCCAAAGCCCAGGGGAGGGTTGATACGCCTCAGCAGAGTCACCACATCCAAGTGTTTGATTCTCCCCCTGCAGAGGAAACGCCAGCTCAGCAGTGAGGCAGCAGCCCTGCCTGGCAGTGCCTTGGGGAGCTGCTCTGGGGCTGATCCCTGGGATCTGCCCCATGCTTCTCTGCTCCTCCTGGGGAAAGCAGCTGCTCCCTGAGGCCCTGGGGAGCAGGTGAAGGTGTGCAGTGGCATGGCACGAGTTGGCAGCCTCAGCACAGCTGGATGAAGAGGGAACTGAAAGTCTTATGTTCCCAAATCTCCTGATGGCTTTTATCAGACCTGGATCAACTCTAGCATCTCTTACCTCTGAGATGCTGGAACGTGGTCGTAGGCAGTGGCACAGCTCACCCTGCCTGCCTGCATGTGTCCCCCCCATGGAACACCCCCTCCATGCTGCCCACCCACCCACCCTCACTCACTTGGCCTCAGGGTCGTACTCGGCCCAGATCCGCTTGAACTCGTCCAGGTGATGGGGCCCCAGGATGGACCAGTCCCGTGTCAGGTAGTCAAAGTTGTCCATGATGACAGCCACGAAGAGGTTAATGATCTGAGGGCAGAGGAAGGCATGGGAAGAGCCCAGCCAGGGGAGAGAGACCAGCACTATGAAAACAGGCAGATGTGTTCTGGGATCTCCTGCAGTCAGAGGATGCTGAGTGAGGGTCTTCCCATGCAGAGAGGAGCTGCCTGCCCAAGCAGGTCATGTGAAAGGACAAGCACATCAGCATCTCATCCCTCTCCACCCCTGCTGAGGCCAACACAAACACATCTGGAAGGCAGCACACAGAGGCTGTGGGAAGACACTAAAAGGGATCCTGGGTCCCCCAGGAGTGCAGTGTCAGTTTACAGCACGGCTGGGTAGGTGGGTAGGGTGATGTCCCCAGCAGAAGGTTCAGGGGCTCCCCCCATGAGACACAGCTACCAACACCGTGGCTGCCCAGGCAGGACAGGGGTGCTGAAAGGGCCCTGTGGGAGCCAGCAAACTGTGGGAAATGGGTTTGTACAGAAATCCCAACGCTTGACAGAAGGCTCACATAGTGTGTATCTGTATGTAAACCTTGAGATAAGAAATGTAAACCTTGAGATAAGAAATGCTGACTTAGAAATGCCATGGGATAGGACAGACATGGTTGAGAGAGAAATGGAACTAGAAACAAGTTTCAAAGGACAGCCTTACAAATAAGACCGGATACTTTGGAGAACTAGAACTATGAAAGATGCATACCAGGAAGGCACAAAGCATGTAGAAGCTGATGAAGTAAAAGTAGGCAAAGCCAGTGCCACAGGTGTACTCCTCTCCCTCGGCGTAGTCGGACTCGGGGTCGCAGCGCCGGCCGTAGCTGCAGTCCAGCAGGATCTCCTGCCACGCCTCGCCGGTGGCACACCTGGGGACAGGGGACACCTGCTGCTCCCTGCTGCTCTGGGCATGCAGGGAGGGCTGAGGCCAGCCCAGCACACAGGGGAATGGGAAACATAAGCTTTTGTAAGGAAATCCAAACCCTCTGCTGACACAATATACTGAAATTTTCAAAAATCAACGAAATAAAGATTCCCACCTTACCACAACACTAGGTAGAGAGCAGAACTAATAACTACCAGCTGCTTTTGGTGAAACAATGCCTAAGAGTGCCAGTTAAAGACCAGCTTTGATTTGTAACACTGCCCATAAAATGTTCATATTATCAGAAGCACGTGGGCAGCTCCTTGGAGGAAACCAATGGCAGATCCACGCCAGCAAGGGTGGAGGAAAACCTGCAATCTTGTAAGGGCATGAGGTATCAGTGCAGCACAAGAACAGCTAGTACTAGGTGAAGGCCACCCAGGTTTATGTTAGTAATTGGTGTTTTGACTGAATCACTCATAAAAGCCTGTTTGTGAACAAGAAAAGGAGCAGTCAGGATTCTGGCCTTGCTGCTATAGGGCCACTGAAAGCTCCAGAAAGTGTCTGGAGTCAAGGAAAGCCTTGGGCTGAACTCCTGCTTCCCATGATTTCCTCACAATTCACAAATTAAAATCTAGTCTGGGAAGGAAATACTCAGAATAGCAACCCCAAAATGCCCCTCTCTCCAGCAGCCCAGCCACACCAAGAAAACCCACAGCCTCTCCTGAAATGCTCCCACTGCTGCAGGAGATCTTTCTGTGGGACAAAAAAGAAATCAGTTACTGAAACGTGAGTCCTCCCTCACTGCAAGCTGGGCATTCCCACAGGCTCAGAGCCTTCTGGAGCTGCTCACACGACAAGACTGACCTGAAGAGCAGCAGCACAGCCTGTGGAAAGGTCTGGAAGTTGTTGTTTCGGTTGATCTGGGTCCCATCCACCATGGCAATCTTCCCAAACATCTGTAAATCACAGTGGCAGGTCTGCAGTGTGCCATCCTTTCCTTGGCACCAAATACCCTCTGGTGCCTGAGCCCCACTTCCTCTGGTTTATTTGGCTTTGGGCATCCCCAAAAGAGATTGAGATTGGATGTGGGTGCTCTGGGGCTTGGAAGCTACTTGGACATTGCTGCCAGTGCTGAAAGCACCCCTGACTACAGCTGCACTTCATCTGGGCCACAGAGACAAGGTCTGAACCAGCACAAGCACTGGTGCCAATGGATTGTGCCACTGGATTGTGCCATTGACTCCCAAAGTGCTCTGTGCTGAAGCCCAGGGACAGGAGGCTGCTGGGGTGGCAAACACCCTTGCAGACAAGAGTAAGCAGGTCCCATGATGTGCAAAGTCCCAGAGAGGGCCTAACAGAGGAACCAGTCCCTCCCTGTCCCACCTCCCCGGGTGCCATCAGGCTCAGGGCATCTGATGAAGACCAACTCCCACCCCCCTGGCCCCTGCCCCTCACCTGCATCCCAATCACGGCATAGATGAAGAAAAGCATCACAATCAGCAGGGCCACATAGGGCAGAGCCTGTGACAAAAGGACCATGGCTTGTGTGAGACACAGCCCAGGGACAGGGTCTGGGCTCTGGGAGTGCTGCAGGAGCTGTGCCTGTCCCTGTGTGGGGAGGGGACAGCTCACCTGCTCCCCTCCTGCTGGCCCCTTCTCTGTGGTGCTCACCCGTGGCAGGCTGATGCCAGCCCCAGTGGCCTCTGTGGCTGGGACAGAGGCTCAGCACAGCCCAGGGCAGTGCCAGCTCTGGCTGTGAGCAGATGCTGCAGCGTGCCCTGAGGTACCCACCTGGAGCAGATCCCAGTTAACTGGGACCAGGACAAATGGGCCCAGCAGGTACTGCCAGCACCTGGCCAGCTCTGACTCTCAGAGCTGTGAGGCAGGGAGCCCCACACGCCTCCCACCCACACGGGCCATGTTCTGCACACCACAGGCCCCAGCCCAGCCTGAGGCCAGCAGGAGCACTGCAGCTTTCTCCTCTGCCTGCTCAGGACAGGCTGCTCAGCCCGAGGGTCAGCCGCTGCTGCCAGCCCTGGCCATGTGTGCCTTTGGGAGGGGAGCAGAGCTCCTGACAGACCTGAAAGGACTTGATGAAGGTCCACAGGAGGGTCCTGACACCTTCCCCCCGGCTCAGCAGCTTCACCAGCCTCATCACTCGGAATAGCCGGAAAAAAGTGATGGAGACGCGGGAGTTGTCATCAGGGTCCTGCAGGCAGAGCACAGCAGCTGCAGGACACGGTGCTGGGGCCTCCAGGCCTTCAAGGCAGGGGGTCCAGCTCCTGGGGGAGGAAGGGTAGCGAGATCCCACCCCCAGGCACCAGCCACGGTGCCCTTTGCTGCCGTGGAGGAGCAGACTGTGCTGGCACCGCTGCCCCCGGCTCCTCTCCCCAGCCTCCCCAGGGATCCCATCTCCCCCACGCTCACACTTTGGCACTGGGATAATGCAGGAAGGAAGGCATGCTGCCACATGCACTGGGAGAGCTCTGAGGGTCACAAGGCCACCACAGACAGGCTTAATCCCACCAGGGTCTTGCCCAGCACAGCCTGTATTTGTAGGGTGAGGTGTAGGGTGGGCACCAGGCACAGGAAGGGTTAATGAGAGCTGTTTCAGCAGAGAAGGGCAGTTTTGAGAATGCCACAGCAGGACTTTAACCAAAGGAGGGACTGAAGAAAGGTGTCTCTGCGGGGTGCTGCCCTTGTCACCTGGCTGTGCAGGGATGCCAGCTCTCTGTGGGTGCCCCCCGTGCAGGGGGGAACAGCCAGGGGGTCAGGGCAGAGTGGGCAGGCAGGAGGTGAGGCAGGAGGCACAGCTCCTGGCCTCCAGGACCAGCTTTTGTCTGGAAGCACCTCACAGTGGTAGCTGGAGATGCTGGGGGCTTGGTCACCTGTGCCCTTGGCAGCCCCAGCATGGCACAGCCTCAGCCCCTGCCACCAGGAGCCATGAACAGACCCTGCTAGCACTGCATCACAGCTTGGGATGCTTTTCCCACTGCCCCCTTAGCCTGCCAGAGCTTTCCTGCTGCCACTGGATCCCTCTGACTCCCATCACCCAGGCCTCTCACTTCCAGCTATTTCAGGACAACAAAATCCAGCTGTAAATACCCCAATATCCCTCCCTGCAGCTCCACCTTCCTCAGCATCACACTTCCCAGTTCCCAGGGCTGCACTGAAAAACTCCATCTCCTCTCCCACCTTTCTTTTGCCTTTCACTCTCCTGGTGCTTCGTGCCCATCCAGTGAGTGCAGTGCTCAGGAGCATCCCAGCAGCCCCAGTGCAGAGGGTCGAGATTGCTCCTCTTCCCATTTCTCTGCTGTCATAGGGCAGGGATTGCCCCCTCACCATTTCTCTGCTGTCAGAGGCTGGATCCCTTCAGACCTTAGGCAGCCAGGGTGATGGCAGAAGGACCAGGGCCACCTTTCCTGCCCTACAGCTCTGCTGTGGCAGCTCCAGGGGATGGCATGGTGAAGGGCAGGGCTGTGCTCTCAGGTGGGCCCAGGAGGGCTGGGGAAGAGCCTTGCAGCTCCCAGGGTGGGAAGGGGTGTCTGTGTGTGTGGTGTGTCACCCAATCCCCCCAGCGAGGGCACAGTCACAGCCCGGAGGGAGGAGCTGGGTGTGGTGGCCTCGGTGACACGCAGGACACACGCAAAGGCTGGCAGGGGCAGGGAGGGCTGCAGGCAGGACACAGAGCTGGCACTTACAGTGCCATCACAGCCCCCACCGAGGCAGTACAATCCACCACTGGGTGCCAGGATGGTCTGTGGAGAGAACAAGAGAGTCAGCAGAGGGGAGGCAGGGAGGGACACAAGGAGAGAACACAGACACATAAGAAAGAGTAAGATGGAAACTGGGGAGAAGAGGAGGGGCACAGGGAAGGGCAGGCAGAGCCCCACCATCCCTTAGGCTCAGGGACAAGCTGATGTGACTGTAGATAGGCAGAGGCAGCATCTGGGTGAGCAAGGAACCACACAGACCACGAGACTCCTCTCGGTGCCTGTGCTGTGTCCTGGGCATCCCCACAGACCCTCCAGGACACAGACACAGGGGAAAGGACCTGGGAAGCTCAGGGCACAGAGAACATTCCCCAAATTCTGCCTGGCCTTCTGCACAGCCCTGCTGCTGCCCACAGTGCTGCAGCACACAGAGCACAGCACCTGGGCCAGTCCCTGGCAGCCCAGTCAGGCACCAGGCTCCTCCTGGTGCCTGGGGTGTGTCCTGGCATCCCCTCCCTCGAGGGCAGCAGGATTTTGGTGTGTGTGCCAAGTGGTCTCTCGCTCCAGAGGGACTGAAAACCTCTGTGGAGTTCAGGGCCTTCATCACCCCTTGAACTTCAGTTCTGAGTTCTGAGAGCAGGCTGGGGAGGGACACCCGACAGGCAGAGGGAAACCAAGGCACAGAGAGCTGGTGGGCAAGCATGAGGAGGAGCTGATGACAGATGAAAGCTGTTGGCACTGGCATGAAATCTGGGAGATGATGAAGGCTGAGAAGCCCAGAGGGCAGAGGATGGCTGCACAGATGGGCAGGGCTGTGCAGAGAGGGGCACAGGGCTCTCACAGGAGAGCAAGGTGGGTGGGTTTTGCTCATCCCAGCTCTGTGAGGCCTGGAACACCCTACAAGAGAATGTGACTGCTCTCAAGGGTCTCTGGACACCTCACCTTCCTGCACAGAGAGCATGGAAGGTGACCCTGGGCAGGGTGGCAGAGGCAGCAGCAGTGCCAGTGCAGTGCCCAGGAGCGGGCAAGCCCTGCCCCTTGGAGGAGACACTGCCAAGCCACTGCAGAGGGTTAATCCATCACCTCCCCATTTCAGGGCCAGACACAGGTGTGGGTGTGCCAGTGCCAGGGAAGGCAGGGCTATGCTGGCTTCCTAGCACTGCTTTGGAAACGCTCCCAGCAGAGCACTCCCCAAACAGGCACTGCCTGAGGCACCAGCCCCACAGCTTGAACAATGCAGAGCTCCTGCAGGGATGGCTGGAGCTCACACACACCACCTCTGTGTGTGTGTCTGTGTGTAGGGACTGCCGTGTAAAGGGGCACACACAAAGCAAATGCCTGGAAATCTGATGGCTCTGATGGTTCCCCTGGGCCAGCAGAGTCCTGTGGGGACAGGCAGCTGTGGGAGCCCTTTTAGTCCCACCTGCATTGATCTGAGGCTGGATGTGTGGCACACAGCCTGCTGCTGATGGGCTAGTCCTGAGTGACTGTTTTCCACAGGACTCCAGTGCCTACAGATTCAGGAGACCAGAGGGGAGGGGCAATGTGACATGCTGAGCAGTTGGGGATGTCTCATTTGTGCTTTAATGCTCAAAGGGTCACAGCTGTGCTCTCCATGCACTCGTGCCATGTGCTGATCCTTGCTGGTCCCTCCTCAGAACCAAGCAGAGCAGGGAGAGAGGAGAGGACACCATCCCCCTGCAGGGCTGGACACATCCAGCACTCCTGCCTCGTGCCAGGGCAGGGCCCAGTGCAGCCCTGGGTGGGAACAGCCCCGTGCCCAAGCCCCTGCACACTTACATCAATCTCACTGAGGATGACATCAATGATGCTGCCAATCACTATGAGGAAGTCAAAGACATTCCAGGGGTCTCCGAAGTAGCCCTGTCAAGGAAGAGCCAAAGAGGAGTGAACATGCAAGGGTGTAAGTCAAGGAGGACACAGAGGCTGGAGCCCAGAGGAACCAGAAGGTTCTTCAGTGACTCTGACCCTCAGAAGAAGGGATGGTGGTCAGAGCTTTGCACCCTCTGCTCAGTTATTTGGTCCTGTCCTGCAGTGCAGTGAAATGAGGAGGGTGGGTCAGGATGGCTGGAGTGGAGCTTTGGCCCTGACACTGAAGATGGGAATAATGGCCAGCTGGGCTGGGTGGGGTTTGGTCAGCAAGGGTAGCCCTAACAAGCAGTAATCCCTCCAGAAACTCCAAGGTCCTGTGCACAGGATTCCTTAAGGGTCTTGCAAGGAGAAGTTCTGTGGAGCTGCAGGACTAGGGGTGCTTGTACTCAAGAGATGCCCAGTGCAGGGCAAATGGACCCCCTGGCCTGGCCTGCTTTCCATGCTGACCATGCTCTTCTCTCACCTTGGCTTTGAAGGCCATGAGCTTGAGGACCATCTCCAGGGTGAAGAGGATGGTGAAGGCCACGTTGAGGATGTCTGAGATGTGGTTCATTTCTGCAGACTGGTTGTAATGCTGAGGATAAGGCAGAAGGAGCCATTAGCTGATGGCAGATCCAGCCTCCACTGTGAGCACAGAGATGTGGGCTGGATGCAGGCTCCCTCCCACAGCCAGGCCTATGGCTCAGCACAAAGGAAATTTCCCCCCTGCAGCCCCTTGTCTGGGCTCCCCACATCCCACCAGTCCCGTTTTGGTCCAGAGGCCCTGACCCAGAGATCACACCACAAGCCAACACCTGCTGTGCAGAGGCTCTGCTGGGGACAGCAGGGCTGAGCCAGACCCTCCCTTTGCCCTGTGCCCTCACCTGCATGCCCAGGCAGATGGTGTTCAGCAGGATCAGGAAGAACATGAGGTACTCGAAGTAGGAGGAGGTGACCACGTACCAGATCTGGTACTGGTAGGGGTTCTTGGGGATGGAGTGATAAAGTTCTGAAATGGGGAGGTGGTGGAGTCACCATCCCTGGGTGTGGCACTGGGTGCCAGGGTTCAGTTGAGCTGTTGGGGCTGGGTTGGACTTGATGATCTTGAAGGTCTCTTCCAACCTTGTGATTCTGTGATTCTGTGAAGACACCACATGAACCAGGGGTGAAGGGGGGACTGAGATGGCTGCACAGGCCTGTGTCTCCCCAGCAGCCCAGGGCCATGTCTGCTGGGTTTCTGTGTGGTTCACATCACCCTGGCACCCCCAGCTCAAGCTGCCCGTGCTGCCTCAGCACAGGAGCATGACAGCACTCCAGAGCCAGCAGTAGCCCCTGTTCAATGTCCTCCCCAGCGTGTCCCACATCCTCTGCCAGTGCCTCTGCTGCTTTCAGCCTTGCTGTCCCCAACCAGAATGACAGCATGACAGCATCACAGAAGGGCTGGCAGCAGAAAGTACCTCTGGAGATGGTCTAGTCACAGTTTGCTGCCCAAAGCAGGGCCAACTGGAGCATGCTGCCCAGGACAGTTGGCTTTTGAAAAGCTCCAAATATGGAAGCTTCACAGCCACTCTGGGCAACCTGTTCCAGTGCTTGGCCACCATCAGCATTAAAAAAAAGTGTTTTTTAATGTTTAAATGGAATTTCTTGTTTTCTGCAGGTTGTGTCCACTGCATTTTTCCTGTCACTGGGCACAACTGAAAAGAGCCTGGCTCAGTCTCCTCTGTGCCTTCCCACTGGTGTTTATACCCATAGGTCAGATTCCTATGAGCCTTCTCAGGAAGACTTGACTCCCAGACCCTCTTTAGATGCTCCAGACCCTCCATAATCTCAGTGGCCCTTTGCTGGACTCACTCCAGTATATCCATGTTGCTTTTGTACTGGGGAGCCCAGAGCTGGGCACAACCCTCTACTCCAGCTCACTCTGGGCACCCTACCCATCCAGGGAGGCCCACACCGAGTTTCTGATCCCCTCTGCCCTTCCCTCAGGCTTGTTTTGTGCTAGACACAGGTCCAGCTGGCCCTGCCCCTGCAGCAAACAGGCCTGGGGCAGATTCAACTCATCTGTGTCAGCAGTGTCACCACAAAGAAGGGCTGATCCAAATCAGCCAGCCCCAGCAGTGCCAGGTCCAGGGCTGGTCCTCCTTGTCCTGTTCCAGCAGCCCCATTACCTGATTCTTGTCCAGCTCACAGTTCTTGTACTCATTCTCTCCTTGCTCCTGGAAGGTGACGATGACAAAGCCCACAAAGATGTTCATCATGAAGAAGGCAATGAGGATGATGTAGATGATGAAGAACATTGCAATCTCCACCCGGTAGTTGTAGATAGGGCCTGCATCCTCAGCATTGGTGTCAATGGCCATGTACAGCAGCCTAGAGGAGGGAAATTAAGGCAACAGAAAACCTCATTGGAGTGGAAAGACCACGTCTCCTCTTGAAAGTTACAGAGAGCTTTGGAGACATCCAGCAACAGTGGGACAGGAATGCCTGGGTAACCTTGCCAGCTCCACAGCCACTGCCAGTGGGACTGGTCCTGCTTCTCAACTTGGATAGCTCTTCTTTCTTTACCCTCTGTATCAGGTTAGCTGGGGGTGTGTATTCTATCCCCACCTGTCAGAGCTGGGCAGTTCTCTGCTGTTCATGGGGCAGTTTTCTTTATCTCTCCCAATACCTGTCTGTTCAAAGACCCCATGGCCGTGCCCTGCTCCCAGCACAGACCTTCCCTCAGCAGAGACTCACTCTGGCCAGCCCTCGAAGGTGGAGACGGTGAAAAGCGACATCATGGCTGAGAAGACGTTGTTGAAGTGGAAGTCGCTGTGCAGCCAGACTCGGTCCTGGACCTCAATCTGCGTGGGGTCTGCGTCCACGTAGTTGATGAACTGACCCCTGCAGCAGAGGGGACACAGAGCTCATGGGCAGGGCCCCCTCAGCCCCACTGGCCTGGCCCTCCTTGGTGCCTGGGAGGGGAGCACAGCCCTGTGCTTGCTCCTGATTTACCCCAGGGACAGGGAGAACAGGAAAACATCTCAGGTTGACTTTTTGAATGCAGCATTCCCACGCAGGAACACAAGCATTCCCCAACCACATCCCCCCAGCTCCCAGCCCTGGCCACTGCCCACCTGGGAGCTGCAGAGAGTCCTTACCTGCACTCCTTCTCCGTCAGCTTGGATGGGTCTGTGCACCTGTAGAACTTGCCCTGCATTCAACAGACACCAGAAGTGGCCATGGGGTTGCTTTGACTTTAGAAGCCCTGGGAGTTTTGACTTTTTCCCAGCTCTCAGTCAGTTCCCCCTCACCACCTGGATGCAGCCTCTGGCCCTCCCCACTGTGCATGCCAGACAAACCAGTTCACAAGGCACTTCCAGAGTCACGGCAGACCTGGGGTCAATCCCACGCTGAGATGAGGAAACACTCTCTGGAGATGGGAACAAACCTTCCATGGCCCTGAGCTGAGGCCTAGCTCACCCTATCTGGGAGCCAACTATCTGGTAAACAGGGAAAAAAGCAGTACCCAGAGAATTAATGAAAAGCTAAGCTATGCTGACAGGTCTGCTCAGTCTGCTGGGTGTCCTCAAAGCTACTCCCACATCAGCTCAGAGTTTAAGCTCAGTTATTAGAACAAAACTGAGCTCAGCCAGGGCCAGCTCTGCCTTAGAGCAGCCAAGGCCCAGAGAGCAGGAGCAGCGCTGTGAGAAAGGAAACCCTTCACAATCAAAGCACAGAGGAAATCAGTCAGAAGCACCTGCTGTCCTAGAAAGGAGAAACTGAGGCATGAAGAGAGGTGAGGCAGCCCTTTACAGGTGCTGTCCGGACCCCACAGTACCCTGGGTGCTTCCTGCCCTCCTCTCACTGCAGGCTCTTCTGTGGCTCCTCTCACAGACCACAGAGAGCACAGCCTGTGCTGACCCAGCACTGTCAGGCACCATCCCCAAGGTGACATCCAGGAGAGCCCGGCCAGGATGTGCTGGAGCAGAAGGTCCCTCCTGCCCACCTGAGCTCACCTTGAAGAGCTGAACGCCGATGCAGGCAAACATGAACTGCAGCAATGTCGTGACAACCACGATGTTACCAATGGTCTTGATGGCCACGAACACGCACTGGACCACGTGCTGTAGAGTGGGGGACAATGCAGATGTGACACAGCTGAGGCAAGCTCCTGCTCTGTGTCCCACACCCTCCCACTCCAGGAAGAGTGGGAGCCTGCCAAGAGCAGAGGGATTGGGCAGACCTGTTCCACAGATGGTTGGTGGGAATTGGGAACGGGCACAATGCCTGCCACACAACCTCCAGGTAGGACTGCCGTGGGAGGAGGTCCCCTGTCCCAGCCTCTCACTCACCTTCAGCCCCTTTGCCCTGTTAATGGCTCGCAGAGGCCTCAGCACCCTCAGCACCCGCAGGATCTTCACCACAGAGATCGTGCTGGACCTGGGCAGGAAGGCACAGCTGAGGTGGGGCCACTTCCCTGCCCAGGCTAGGCTGGTACAACCCCAGCAGGCAGCCAAGGAGGGCAGGCTGGGGCCAGCAGCGAGGGACAAGGGACAGCAGAGACACAGATGTCACCGGCCATCACCCCATGTAAGACCAAGTGACACTGGCACCTGGAGGAAGCAGATCCAAATTAATTTCTACCCACAGAGGTTTGACACTCAAGGATTGCCCTTTGACCTCCTTGACCAGTTTGTGGGCATGCCTCCCACTTGTCCATGTCCCCTGAACATGACATGATGGACACGTGGGCAGCCATTGGGCTGGCTGCTCCTCCTCCACCCACCATCCCCAGCTGCCCCACCAGCCTGAGCAGGCCAGTGCCCACCCTGCGGCACATGGAGGTGCTTACTCAAATCCCATGGAGATGAGGGAGACGGCGACCACCAGTAAGTCAAGGATATTGAAGGAGTTCCTGCAGAAGGAGCCTTTGTGCAGGAAAGCACCGTAGGTTGTCATCTGGGGAGCAGAAGGAGTTAGGAAAGAGGCTGGGCAGGGCTCGGGGCATGGTTCCTCCAAGAGGGAAGGGTGGACGAGGGACTTCTCACAGCTCCATGGCCTGAGGACCCTGTCCTGCTCAGACCTCTGCAGCCAGGCAGGAAGCTGCCTTCAGGTGGAAATCCTGTGTGCAGCACTGGCTGGAGACAAAACTCTCCCAGTCATCAGCAAATTAAAGAGGAGAATAGCAAAGACCCTCAGAGTGGAACAACACATGGCAACAGCTTGGATTGTGACCTTCATCCACAGATTTTCACTGGTTTCTCTTTGTCTCTTTTTCTTAAAGGCGTGTGAGAATAAAAATGCCAATGCCATGGCTGATGTGTCCCCGTGTCACAGCACAGCTGGCTTAGCTGCCTGACCTCCCTGGAGAGGACACATGGCCTCTGGGACAGGTCACACACCACCCAGACTGCAGGAATGAACTCTCCAGGAGGATCAGCTGGAAGTTCCTCCTCACTGAGACCTTCAGGAGCATGGATGCCTAAGGAGTGGGAGTGTTCATGGCCACAGAAATCTAGACCTGCTGCCATTGAGTTAGGAACGGTTGAAGAAAGGTGACATTGACTCTTATGATTAGAAGGTATAAAGTGAGATTTATTAGGAACTTGACATATTTAGAGGTAGGATTGTTCACTTAGAACTTGATTGGTTTATAAATAACACTCTTTATACTATTGGTTAGTTAGGAATAACACCTTTTGGTAAAATTTTTTTTTTATAAACATCACATATAAATATTCTACATGTTCACAAACACTAGGTGTAGAGATTAAGATAAGAATTGTTTTAATTCTTTCTCTGAGCATTCTCACAACTTTCCTAGGGCGATGCCTGGAAAAGTCACCTTTTTCTCTCTCTGACTAACCTGTCACATTCACATAAACCGATGTGCTAGGCCATGCTTACAGCAAGACCATGGACTCACCTTCAAGACGATTTCAACTGTGAAGACAGAGGTGAAACCAATGTCAAAGTATCCAAGAATCTGGGGACAGAGACACCAGTACAGGATGAGATTTGGGTGACAAGGGAAATGTTCAGTATGCTCAAACATCCTGAAGTTGTCCACTCTGTGGACTGGGGAGGCCATCTAGCTCAACAGTGTCTAAACCCAGTACCAAGAAGACTCCTGAACTCTCCCCAGCTTTGCTGATTTTCTCCAGTGCATGATCCAACCTGCAGCTGGGACAAAGCTCTCCTTGCCAGGTGAGTTCCACCTGAAAGCATCTGATCCCCAAAAACCCCAAGTGCCCTGGGAAGCTGTCTCATGTGAGATCCCCCAGGCCCTGCCAGACCCACTGGTGCCTTGAAGAACAGGAGCTGTGGCTCCCATGGCTGCAGGCCAGCAGCATTCGAGGACACTGCACACATCAGAGGTCCAGTTTGCAGGATGTCTCTTCCCCCAATAAACCACCACAGTTTCAAACCAAAATAATCCTGCACACCCGCACTGCACACACCAGAGGTCCAGTCTGCTGCCTCACAGGATGTCTCTTCCCCCAATAAACCACCACAGTTTCAAACCAAAATAATCCTGCACACCCTGTCAGGTGGATCTTTTCACCCAGAAGTAAACTGAGATATGGAGCAGTAAAACCTTGTCCCAGCTGCACCCTGAATGGAAAGCACAACCAGAATCTCCTGCCTGAATGCACTGCCCTCCCAGAGGCAGGGCTGGCATCCCAGCCTAGGAACTGCATCTGGCAAGTGAATCCCTGCTTCCTGGGGAGCTGGGAGTCTCCAAGAGGTCTCCCCCACCCATCCCAAACCTCCACACCTCTGCAGGTACCTGGTTGCGGAAGGACTCGGCCCGGATGGGATCCTCAGCTGCCAGGGAAATGCTGCTGAGCAGGATGAAGAGCAGGATGAAGTTGGTGAACCAGGTGGCATTAACAGTTCTGTGGCACAGGACCCGAAACCTGCCAGGGACAGAAATGCCACGGGATGCTGCAAGGGGCATCAGGCAGGGTCATGGCAGCCTGGCAGAGGGTCATGGCTAAACCCTGAGGACAGGAAGGCCCGAGGCATGGAAGGATGTCTGTGCCACTCCTTCCACACAGAAGGCTTTTCCCCGTGAGCTGGTTCCCTTCAGAACTGGTTGTCATGCTTGAACAAGACCCTGCTGTGAACAGCTGGTGCCAGAGACACCTGAGCCATGCCTGGCCCTACAGGGCAGGGAGAAGGGGCAGTGCCTACTTGTTGGTTGGGCTGAAGATGAAGAATGAGCTGGCCTCAGGCATGGGCACGGCCTTCTCCTTCAGCTGTAGCTCTGCAAGGGGACGTGGCCGAGGACTCAAGGGGATTTCAGGCTCATCTTCCTCATCATCACCTGTAGGGTGACCATGAAAAGGGAAAAGAATTATCCAGAGTGGGAGAGGGAATATGACCTTATGGATAATCTTCTGATCCCATGATCCTCATTTGGCATGCAAGCCAGAAGGACCTCAGCACCCCAAGGCTGGTGAAAGTTCACTGCACGCTTTGCTCCTCACACACCATCCCTCAGCAGTGCCTTCTCAGCCCTCCTGCTGCCCTGCCAGGGACAAATCTTACCTGGGAAGTCTGCAGAAGGGTAGGGGTCTTTGATCTCATTGACATTGGATTCAAATTCATCCACTTTCAACTGAAACAAGGAGAGACAGAGAGGAGGATGTGCAGCTGCATGTGCCAGCTGGCCAGACCCCCTCATCTTGGAAGCCACGTGGGGCAAGCAGCATCCCTGCACTGGGCCCATACAGCAGCAAGCACAGGGAGTGCTGGCCCAGGCTGGAACCTGGTGAGGGGATGCTGCAATCAAAGCAAAGAGGATGGGAAATAGGAATGTGTGCTGCAGCCATGAATATATGCCACGGGGGGAATAAGACAGGGAACAAGTCCTGAGTGAGATTTTAAGAGCACTCTGAAAAGTGGAAAGGAAAGTAGCTGCTGGCCAGATGCTCCTCAGAGGCAGCTCAGCACAGCCAGCACACCTGAACAGAGGGGTTTGCACATGGGGGGTGCTGGTGTGGACATAAGGAAGATCTGGGATGCTGCTGACTTGCTTTGCTCCACCCCACACTGGTATGCACCAGACCATCTCAGCCCCTGGCAACTGGCTGTGGCCAAGGAAATGAACTGGAGAAAAAGGATCCCCAGCAATGGAGCTGTTTCAGGATGTCCTGCCTGGCCCCAGAGGCCCCCCTATCACTGAGAGCACCCATCACCCCTATCACCCTGCTATGGCAAGCAGTGATTCTGGTCAAGAGGTCAGACCCAAACTGGCTCCAAGCCTTTGTCTCTCCTGGCTGGTGGGAGGAGGAGCCAGGGCTATCCCCAGGAGCCCTCAAAGGCTCACCTCCACCTGAACTGACCTTGGCTGTTGTGGGAATCCCTTCTCCCTTCACTTTCTGCTCCAGTTTCTTTGCCAGCATCTGCTTCTCCTCTTCAGACTTCTCTGGGTAACCTCTAAGAGAGGAGGGCAGAGATGGAACTGAAGTCTGTGCAGGGGCCATGGGAAAGCTCATGGTGTCCCCTCACAGCCAAAGAGCTCGTTTGGGAGCTCCCATGGGCAGGGATGGCAGTGCCCACCTGGACATCTTCCGCCGTTTGCGCTCCTCTGCTTTGGCCTTCTGGGCTAAGGTCAGGCTCTCAGCCTCGGCCAGGTTGTCGACTGCGATGGCCAGGAACACATTGAGGAGGATATCTGGGGGAACAGTGCTAAGGACACAGACGTGGTTCCTGTCTGGAGCCATCCATAGTCTCCAGGGTGCCTTAGAAACCTTCCTGGAGCTTAGCCTTTGTGATAACCCTAGCTGGTGATGCCTAACCAGCATCCATCCCTTGTGAGCACTGAGCTCTGGGCTGGCTGAATCTCTGCCTGCCAGGCATCCAGACCTGCTCCAGATGTGCTTTCCTCCAGTCCCCAGCCCTCAGCCACCACCAGTGCCAGCCCTGAAGCCCGTGGTTTGTTCCACTGCTCTTCACAACTGAAAAGCTTAAGGCAAGCACTGAAACACTGAGGGAAGCCCCTGCTTCCCCCCTGCCCAGTCTTAGGCAGTTGATGCTATGGGGACCTCGGACTGGTTTGCAGGCAGAGGATACAGTTCCCACAGACAAAGAGGATGATGAAGTAGATGCAGACCAGCATGCCAGGAAAGGACGGGCCCCCGAAGGCCATGATCCCGTCGTACATGATTGAATTCCAGTCCTCTCCGGTCAGGATCTGGGAGCAGAGCAGTAATAAAGACTTAAGAGCATCCACAGCAGAGCATGACAGAACCCCAGAGACTGATCCTACCCTTCTGGCTCCAGCCCCATGGTCAAACCCTCCTTTCTGCTCAGCCCTGAACCTGAACTACTGCTCACGACTCCAGTTGCATTTCCCTCTTCCTGTCTCAAACCCGCACAAACCCACACCCCCTTGAGACCTAACTCCTGCCTGGAGACCCCAGCCCAGGTGAGACCCCCAGCCCCTGCTGCCCTTCCCACAGCCCCAGACCTGGAAGACACTGATGAGGGCCTGAGGAAAGTTGTCAAACGTGCTGCGCCGCACTTTCATGTCCTCGAAATCAAACTTGCCCCCGAAGAGCTGCATGCCCAGCAGGGCAAAAACTATGATGAAGAGGAAGAGGAGGAGGAGCAGAGAGGCAATGGAGCGGACTGAGTTGAGCAGGGAGGCCACCAGGTTGCTCAAAGATGTCCAGTACCTGGGAAGAGGAGAGACAGAGGCATGGGGAGGTGAAAGATGGGGAAGGCTGTGGGCAGGACCAGGCAGGCACAGGGAACTCAGCCAAACAGACCAAGGTGATGTGCCAGCAGTCCAAAAAGGGGTACTCTGGACCCAGGCTGGGCTCTGGGACTGCTCCAGGAGGCAGAAATGAAGCTGCAGGCATGGTGTGACAAGCAAGATAACACTGCTGCCTGCACAGAGCACCAGCAAGCAGGATGGGGAAGAGGGGTGAACACACAGTGGGTTGGGGCCACAAGGAAGAGCGAGGAGTCCTGGCCCACAGCAGCCCCACCCACAACATCCCAGAACCCAGAGCTAGAGCGGGGCCTCAGCTCTGTCCCACTCTCCACTCCCAGTCAAACCATGTCCTGGAGACAAACCCCCAGCTTGGCCTTGTCCCTCTGCCCAGCAGCTCCCAGCTCTGTTCACTGCAGCCTCCCCTGGGGACAGCAGTGCCCCAGAACTGTGAGGGATGCCTGGGCACCCTGAGCTGCCAGCAGCCAGGATGCTGCACACACTCATGCACACACTCACACACCCCCCCACAGGCACATGGAGCACAGGTGTGCATGGACACACTCAGCTCAGCCCCACGTACACACACACCCCCAGGGGCACACTGAGCATGTGTGCAGACACAGCTCAGCCCCTCATACACACACAGAGCTCACACTCAGAGGCACATGGAGCACAGGTGTGCATGCACACACAGCTCAGCCCCTCGTACACACACAGAGCTCACACTCAGAGGCACATGGAGCACAGGTGTGCATGCACACACAGCTCAGCCCCTCATACACACACAGAGCTCACACCCAGAGGCACATGGAGCACAGGTGTGCATGCACACACAGCTCAGCCCCTCATACACACACAGAGCTCACACCCAGAGGCACATGGAGCACAGGTGTGCATGCACACACAGCTCAGCCCCTCGTACACACACAGAGCTCACACCCAGAGGCACA